ACATACCAGAGTTCAAACGAGGACAAAGTGTTGGTGCACGTCTTGCTGGTGCATCTGTGACCAAGACAGCAAGTCTTTGTGATGTATCAAGAGCCACGGTRTCCAGGGTAATGTCAGCATACCACCAAGAAGGACAAACCACATCCAACAGGATTAACTGTGGACGCAAGAGGAAGCTGTCTGAAAGGGATGTTATGGTCTAAAACCAGGTGCTTCAGTTTCATTGTCTAACCCCTGTATAATCACCAATGTCTAAACATGAGTTCCTTGTTGATATCTACCGTATCATTAATTTCAGTGTCCAACCACTGTATATGTACCATCCAAAACAAGGGGATTCAAGCAACAAAAATGACTTTCAGCTTTGATCTTTGACCCCAAAATACTTTTAAACCTCTGTTGGGCCAAGAACAATTATCATGTCCATTTTGACTGAAATCAATAGCTCCTTTCATTAGAAACATTGCACACAAGACAGTGTGACGACAGGGGCGGTTCTAGGGGCATTGGCCCCAGCTGAAATCTGATTGGCCCCCTGAAGTGCCCCTGTCCTGCCACTCATCTGTCCTTCAATGAGGTATGTTTACCAGGTTTATTTATTCATATTTATTTAAATAAACCTCATTGCTGTCCTTTACCTGGGAGTGATGATGGTGAATGCAGTTCCATGTTCAAACACTAGAGGCGCCAATGAGTCAAATAGTAAAGTCCAGAATGAATCAAGCTTACAGAATTCTTCTTCTCTTCTTGAGAAAATTTGAACATTGTAAAAAAAAAAAGGTCTTTCGTCTTACAAATGATGGTTGGATTTTTTCCCACGTCATATTTTGAAAATGTCTTATCTAAGTACAGTAAAATGTATGAAAAACTGAATTGACTGAGAATTTGCGTGCAAGATTTTTTTGGTACCACTTTAAAATGAGGCTCTCCTTATAGAAGGCTTATAAAGAGCTTATAAATAGGTTACTAATTCATCTGTAAAGTTTGCACTTTATAAATCATTAATAAATGTTTATTATGCAACAATTAAGGACGATGAAGACAAAACTGTCCAATTTTTTTTACCAAGTAATGAGACAAATCTGTTCACGTACAAATTACATATAAAAGGTGGTATATTAAACACTTCAGACCAGGTTTCTACATTGTAAGTGCAATAACAATAAGAAACACATATTTTAACATTAATATTGTACTGTATTACTGCATTATAAATATTCACAACCGTCAAAGGGAGACTTATCATACTGTAATACACAGTACACTGATTATTGATGACAAACATTTGTAAATGCCAAAAGTTAGTCTTTAATGTGAAAAATCATTTTAAAACTTAAGTGTTGATAATCAATATTTGAAATTATTGTTCAAACATGTAACTACTGTCAACAATGTTGATGTATCAAAAATAATTTCATGTTAACGTACCAAACAATCCAACCCAATCTAAAATAATGTAGTTTTACTTTTTACAATAGGGATCCCTTTAATATATGTAGCTATTTATAATGCAGTAATACAGTACATTTTGACACATTGAACATGTATGACTGGTTAAATGTATACACCTTAACAAAACTGGGGATTTGTGTGAAAGGCTGCTGAACAAAGACTTGGCCCCTCTATGAATATTGTGGCCCCTTGATGGCCCCTTACTCAAAATAATCCTAGATCCGCCACTGTGTGACGAACACCCAGAGAACAGTTTGCCTCCTCGGGCGAAGGTGTAAAAAACCATTTTCTGATATAAGATTGTAAGACTTGGTTGGATGAACAGTTTTTACAGTGAAGTGACTGCTTACTGCTCAAAAATAAGAGTAAAGTGTCCTAGCAGTGCCAAGGCCATATTTAGAGGTTCAACTGGGGTTAATGTTTTCTTTTTTTTAACCAGGTATTTTCTTTGTACTGTTCAGGAATTAGAAAAAATGCCAGGTTCTTATTATCAATCATCATTAATGACCTTGACTTTTGACCCTGCCCAAATCTAATCATACTGAGTGCTACCCTAATGGAGTTACTATGCCTTTTAGTAAATATATAATTTCATTCAGGAGGTATCGTGCACACAAGACCACCCGTGACGGACGGACACCACACTAACACACAGACAGCCAGGGAACAGCATGACTTCAGCCCCAGTGGGCGGAGGCATAAAAAAGATGGCTAAATCCAGACATTTTATAAAATTCCAGTTACTGTGTATCACAGAAGTGTTGCTGCAGCAGATACTTTATAGTCATCATACACATCATTGAAACCTTAAAACATTAGAACTTCAAATGACTGATTTTCATATATATTTGTATTGTTTAACACTTGCATCTAAAAATACTGGGATTAAATGGCAGCATTATTTGGAAACATTTTGACACCTACAAACTAAAAAAAAGGCCCTTAATTTCACCTCAGGACACCTAGTTTTATCAACAGAATTGTCGATTTTGATTTGATGACTAATGCTGGTTATAATGATGCAAGGCCTTCCAATGACGAAAATTTTATTTTAAAACACTGAGGTGCTCTTGTCTCAGTGCAAATATAAAAAGCTCAAAAGACCAAATGAACAAAATAAGAGGCTGTGTAAGCAGTCAGGATTGTCCACATCAAAAATGAAAAATAAATCAATCCAAGCTCAACAGCAGCTTTGACCATAATAATTTGTAAATGCCAGAATAAGTCTAAATCATTACTGCTAAATCTTGTCACTTTTTCTTTCCTAATGGTTGTAAATTATATGCACATAAGCTAACTTTGAGGAGCAAAGACTAATCAGATTGTAAACTGTATGATTTAAAGAATGTTATTCTATAAAATAGTATTGAAATGTAGCTGTCATGATTACATACATTAAGTTTGTGATCCCACTGTTCTTAACATTGTGAATTCCAAAATGTTGAGGTCTATTAGCTCAGTTCAACATTTTTTATTCAGGTTTTATGAATTACTTGAATGTGAGGACATAAAACTGATCAGACGATCAAACTGGAAACATTTTTAAATGGAGCACTTCTTTCTCTTCAGCTCAGCCTTTTAGTGATGTTTTAACCATTCCTATAAGCATATATGGTATGCCTGATATAACATGGAAATGAATGAACATGATCAGATGTGGAAATAATTTCCAAGCAACATTGTTTCATTTATAAAAATGTTTCATTATATTTACAGAGCAAAACATATGTAAAGTCACATTTAACATTATCCCATTCTTTTCTTTTTTGGCAAATAAAGATGTCAGTTTTAAAATACCACACAATGTTGGCAACCGTGCAGCACAAACACGTTTCAAAACATCTCGGATGAACACCAGTGTCTCTGATACACGATGTATGATGGAGCAGAACGGAGACATGACACATTATTTTTCAAGGTTTTGTTTTCTCATGAAAGTTGTTGGACTTTAACAAAAACTGAAGTTCACCGTTTTAAGAAAATAMGCCTACAAATCAAATGACCTTTAGTTCAATATTTAACAAATGGAGGTGATGTTAAAAGAATAACAGCACAGCAGACAAATTCTTGTTTCGATACCAGCAGCAGAGCAAGATATACCAGGTGAAATAAATATGTGAAATGAAATTAAAGCAATCCGCAGACATGTTGGTCAGAAAAATGATTTTTTTTTTTTTTTTTGGTTTGATGTGGTACAAGTGTGACTGAAGTAAAGCACACGGCACCTGCTGGGCTACACGACTGGCCACAGACCTGTTTTATTTACACTCAAGAGGAATTAGTGGTCATTTAGTAAATTAAGATTTAAAAGTGAATATCAGAAATTAAAATGCTTTGTTGAGGCAAAAACAGGCCTCTTGATGATGGGAAAATCTCCCAGTGAAGAAGAAAAAAAATCATAATGTTTAACACTTCAACAGGTAACGACTGGCTGGAACAAGTAGAAGCCATCAGCTGAAACCCGACAGTCAGTATTAGGTGGTCTTCACCAGATCGTAGACGTGGATGTGAACATCGTCGTCGTATTTTATGTAATAAACGGTGGGCTTTGCGGGGACTTGGTAGATGACTAATCCCGTCCTCTTCAGGCCGTTATCTGTGACGTACTCCACCTGCTTACCCACAAGGCTCTCAGGTTCCTCACCTGGTTTCCGGTCAGCTGGCAGCAGATGTTTGTTCTCTGCAAGACCACAGGAAGAAAAGGCGGTGTAACTACAACAGCTTTATGTTCCCAAAGTCTCTCTGTGAACTATCATGACTGCTGCAGTAAAACAGTACTTCAGTACTGAGCAGAAACTCTGCACGGACCGTTTGAGTAAAACAGTGAAGCAGAGACAATGAGCTCCAATGCAGACTATGTAAATTTGTTCTGTTCTTTTCCTCCCACCTCTCTGGATGCATCTGAAATGTTAAACACTTCTCTGCAGAAACCCCAAACATCTCATTACTGTACCTGACTCGGGCAGGACACGCAGGTCTCCGTCCTTATAGTCGTCCCACAGCTGGTACATATACAGCACGGGGTCCTTCTCGTAGGTGATGTAATACCAGTGGGTCATGATGGGGGCTCGGGACAGCACCATACCTCGCCACTCGTTCTTTTCGCCATCCTCCTTCTCGAACAGATGCTCCACTGCTCGACCCACGAGCTCCTCCGCGCCAGGAGGCACCTTGATCTTATTGTTTACTGTCGGAGGGAGAAATCACCGTAGAGCTAAACATTTACAGTCAATTTAACATTCATTCTGCAGCTAGTCTCTTCATCTGGTAAAGACGCGTTTCAGTAAAAATTACAACTTGTAGGACAAAAAAACCCATTCAGGTTCATGTCAATGTAACAAAGAATTGACATAAGACTGTTTCATTTAAGCAGGTGCTCAAAGTCAAATGTCATAATTAGACCGATGCCGTCACGCTCACCAACTTTTTCCGTTAAAACTTGCAGATTGGACACCCGGTTGTCTTTGAAGAGCTCGATGCCGTAGATGCAATCAAAGCCGTCATATTTGACCATGTAGAGAGAACTGTTGACAGACAGGCGCTCCAGGACGGTGCCTTTCCACTTGGTTACGTTCCCCTTCTCCCTCCAGGTGTGCTGAATCCGGCGGCCCAGAAGGTTGTCAGGGTCCGGGCCGAGGGTCGACGCTGAGCATTCACTCAGCTCCCCACTGCTACGCTTCCTGTATATTCAAAATATACAAATATTTTTAAAGGATGCTTTAAAGGGGGAAAAGACTTGTTCACTGGCTTGTGGAGAAGAGCAGGTTTCGTAGAAGATGCGAAATGTAAACTTTTGCCCTTAAAATAAAGACTAAAAACTGACATGTAAACAATTACAACTGGACTGCTGTCACAAACCAAACTAATGTGATTCTTACACATAAAACACAACAATATTCAAGAGATATAAGGGCTATTTTCTTCTGAGATTTTTTTTTTAACTTCTTTACTATTCATACAAATCACAGCTGGAGATTTCCTGCTAAAGCTGCACTCTCACAGCTGGAAATGTGAGTGAGGGGATGTGAAGGAGCATCTGTCTCCAGCACACAGGAGGTGTGAGTTGATGCAGAAAAGATGTTGTAGACATTTATTTGGTGGTTGTTGTTGTTTTAAACACATTGAAAATAAGACAATGGGCCCACTGTCCCACCTGCTGATCTTAAGGACGTTTTACTAAGGACACAGAAAGAAAATGTCTGCATGAAGACCAAACCAATTGCTTTTTCCCAAACCCCTTTTGTCCACAATTAATTTCTATTTTTCTCTTAAAAACAAAAAGACATTTAAATAGTCATTAATAAAAACAAAGATTGTGTTTTTATCTTTAAACAAAGTCTGGTCTTGTCATTTGCTTGAGCTTTATTTTACTCTCTTGCAGATCTCTGTATTATTATTTTTATACTCTGCTTGTTTGTTTTTATTGTTTTATTATTTTATCTTTAGTATTTGTCTTTTTTATTTTTACACAACTCAATATTTATTAGGGACACCTTGCTAGTACCAGGTTGGATCCCTTCTTCTACTTTAATTCTTTGTGGTATTCATTCAACAGGATGTTAGAAACGTTCCCCAGAGATGTTGGTTCATATTGACATGATAGCATCATACAGTTGTTGTAAATTTGTCAGCTCATTGTCCAGTTGAACTGAGTCCTAGCAGCTGTGGAGACTGTTGAAGACTAGTGACAACAGAGCCTCCAGATCTGACAATGTTTTCAAATCTCTTTATCGTTTGATTTTAGTAAGTCTGTGTGAATTATGGTTTAAGTTTCTTGTTTTTAGCTGACAGGAGTGGTCTTAGCTGACACCTGGTGTGGGGCTCTGCTGCTGTAGCCCATTTATTTCAAGGCTGGATGTATTTTGTGTTCAGAGATGGTATTCTGTCAACGTTGTTTGCAACAAGTGACTATTTGAGTCTTTCTGCCCAGTCTGCCCATTCAGACCTCTTGGATTTTTATTTTATTTTTTGTTCACTGGATATTTATTTATTTTTTCAACCATTAAAAAAACCCTTAAGATTGGCGGTTACTGGAAAAACTCAGACGAGCCCTTTTGGCACCAACAACCACTCCACATTCAAAGTCACTTAAAATCCTTTTCTTCTCCATTCTAAAGCCTAGTTTGTAGGGCTGGGCGGTATACCGTTTTGTACAGAATACCAGTTTTTATTTTTGTTATGATATGAATTTTTTGAATATCGGACATTCCGGTTTAAATAGCGGAATGTTTCGTCGCGGCCGCCAGTGAACTGTTGTTTCCCGAGGGACATTTTTCCTTGCTGCACCGCTATGTGCGTTAGCATGCTAATGTTTGGAGCAGCTAGTTGCAGCCGCGGGTGGCGATTCCGCTGCTTATATTGACTGACGTTTGAAAAAACATCCCGTTTTCGCCGTTGCTGAATGTAGTAAACACCTCTTCAGTGACGTGCACAGTTAGATTTAACGCGGTTAGTTAATATGGAGACGTTATGCTGATGGAGACTTAACGTGGTTCTATTGTGAAAAGCATAGGGAAGTAGTTCCTAGTAGAGTTGGAATTGACTGGTGTGCAAGGTGAGTCATGCTGATAAGCTTTAATAAATAACATAAAACAATAAACCCGATCATAATCTTTTCTTAACCCTCCTCCTTCACGACTGGACCAAAATGCATAACTACTGTCTCCAACCACCAGTCAGAGAAGAACAGACACAGAGGAGAGAAACAGAGACACAGACAGAGGTACAGTAAAAGAAAAAAAAAGTCAATAAGCAGGGTTTGTACATTTTAWTATCMGCTGAGCTGTGATGAAAAGAAAAATACCGTCAAATACCGTGAAACCGGTGAAAATGTTGAAAATACCGTGATAAAAAATTTTGATCATATCGCCCAGCGCTACTAGTTTGAACATCAAGACACCTTCACCACATGCCTAAAGGCACTGAGWTGCTGCCATGTGATTGGCTGGTTGACTCTTTGTGTTGACAAGCAATTGAACAAGCGTACCTAATAAAGTAGCAGGTGAGTGTATGTTGCCTGGCTGCAGTCTACTGTGATCTTATCTAAAATGAGGTTTGCAATCAGTTTAGGTCAAAGAATACTTCTGACTTATCTGTGCAGACATTATATAGGTGCGCTCTGTTTTAGGGTGATTTATTTTGTGCACAGATTAAATATGATGAGGTATGAGAGCACACCATTGTTTAAATATATTTAAGATAAATAACATTTTTATAAACAAGAATCATGATATAACTTGGCAATATAAACTACCAGAAATGCCAAATTATACATTTCATGTTATACATAAATAATAAAATATGAAACAGCAAAATAGTCGAGGAATAAAACAAGTAGCTGTTTAAACTTACCTTCCCCGTTTCTTTGACATGTTTCCATAAATTCACACAAACCTATGAGAAACAATATGTAATCAGCACATTAAAAAAACACATTTAAAATATTAGAGGCCTCTATGTTATCCGGTGAGTCACACATAATTCATACTGAGACATTCAAATAGTGAACAAACCCATAACCGGATGTAAACAAGCACCATATAAGAAGCGGGGTTACATCATTAGCTAACTATGGCTAATGAATGTTTAACTAGTTCTGTTTAACAGAGCCTGTCGGCTGTCGACCAACAGAACGTACTGCAGGTTTAAAGACGAACAAGCTACTTGACTGAGGATTGTGGATATTTTTTTTGACAAAATTTATTGTAAAGAAGATTTGTCTGAAAAAGCTGGGCTGCTGCATTTTTGCACTTAAGCTAGCCGAACAAAAGGAAATGCATCGCCATAAGCGCAGATTTTTTTTTTTTTTTCCCCACCGCTGCGACAGCTAACACAGGCAGGGGAAAAATAAAACAACCGGGATAAAAACGGTTTTATTTACGATGTGGTCGACGAGCTTAATAGTTAAGAGTCAGCAGAAGAAGTTATTTACCCTACCTGATGAATATCTTCACATGTGTTAGCCTTTCCCGACCAGATTCCTCCACTGCTACACGGAAGCGAAAAGGATCTTTTGAAACTACAAATACCAGAAGGCGGCTGCACTGCTCGCAAAGCACTCTGGGAACTGGAACCATTAAATGCGTCATTAGTCAATTTGAGCAAGTTCAGATTTATATAAATGCAATTTATATTAATTTTAACATTTTGTTTCCTTATACGTTTTATTAAACT